CTCACGGCCACCAACACCAGTGACGATTATTTGAACCGATCCTGGGCCTCCCCTAGGTCAACTCAGCCTCAAATGAGTACCTGGTGCGGTGTGTAGTAGACATCGGCACTGGGGAGACAAAGGCGGCCGGGCGTTGTGCTGGCCACCCGCCCCCTCGTGTGCCGTATCTCGGCATTCATAATAAGTGCTGCTACTCGCTAACAGCACTTTCCCCAACAGCCTTTAAAAAACTACACGAGGGATCTTTACCTTTGTCTCTGTATCAGCGCAGCGAATAATGTGCGCGTGTTTGAGTCAATGCGTGTGTGCTTCTACACGTGTCTATATATACGTGTGAGTACACAAGTATGCATGTATATGTGCGTCTGTATGTATGCGTCAGTTGACCCATGGCACCTGGGTCTGCCCTGTGACCTCCTGCCAGCGGGCGTTCGACACGACACGTGGCCTCAACGTGCACCTAGCTTGGCACAGGCGCCGTGGTGACGTCACCGCCACTTAGTGGCGAATGCCGATTGTTGTTGTTGTGGTATGTATGCGGAGTGCCCATATATAAAAATATAAATATACTTCCACCACATAATATGTACACGCCTTATTTGCATATAATTGCATTTGGGAAGCCCAGGAATTATTATTATTATTACTGTCTACTCATCGATACTGCAGCGATAGACAATTCACGGGCAGTCATCCTGCCACCTGCACACGAAGCGATCCTCCTCCTTCACCTCCTTCCATTCGTCTCTTAAAGCCTCACCACCTCTTCTCCATCATCATCGCCCATTCCCATTCCCCTCCCCTCCTCCCCTCACCCCTCCAAATGCTCCCGGTCCCTCCCCCTCGAGCCCCTGCCGTGACCCCCCAAGGACCCGGCTGGTATCGGTCAACTCATTCTGCGGCCCTTTGCACTGCCCCTGCCACCAGTCACTCGATTTTTGTTACCGCTTTTAAATGTTGTTATGTATATAGCACGCGCGCGCCTTCAACGAAGGTGCCAGCGCTTTATACGTGAATATGTCAATAAATGCATACAAATAAGATAAAACTATAACTATTAAAACTATACTCTTTTTTGTATTTTAGCAGGTGAGGCCCAACTGAGCTACGTCGCTCTTTGTCAGGAGCGACGTGGCCAGATGGTGGCTCAACGAAGTGGCTCATCATTATCGTGTGGACATTTAAAGTGGCAGCCAAATACTCTGAACGCGTGATATTGATTCTAAATGTGGAGGGGGAAAGCTGTGCGACTGGGAGAAAAATCCAATTAACCATGGGGAGAGAGAGACACGCAAACTCCAAATATGCAGCTGGTGTCGTCAGGGTCTGGATCTCGAACCCACCGATTTGTTGTATACCAGGCGAGGTAGTTAACATCTCGCCACCAGATAGGATTTCTCACAATGGAATCTCTCAACAGGTGATCAGCGTTCACAATTAGAAGGCCAATGAGGTTACAAACGGATACTCGCCACGTGGGGACCTCGGGGCAAGGCACCGCCCATATTGGAAGTCTGTGACAAAGGTCTTCACACCTCTTTGGATTCCTCCCGCAGTCTAAATCAAGATTCCGATTCTGATTCATCCTCTCGCACCAGCAGCACCGCTGCCAATAACAGCGCCAGGCTCAGTCAATGGAGCTGTGATTGATGATGGTGGTGGTTCTGTAGAAGTTAAGTGGCGGTGGCGTAGCTGTTAGCGCACTGCCCTACGAACTCAGCGACCCGAGTTCGATTCCCGCTCACGCCACCAACACCAATGACGATTATCTGGACCGGTTCAGAGCCTCCCCGAGGTTGACTCAGCTTCAAATGAATACTTGATTGCGGTGTGTAAGCATCACCACTATGGAGACAAAGGCGGCTGGGCGTGTGGTGCTGGCCAGCCCACCCCCTCGTTTGCCGTGCCAGCCTTTGTAGGTGTTACTGCCTCATTGCACTTGGCCCAACAGGCTATACGGGGGCGTCGTTGTCGTTGTCGTTGTTTTTTGCGTGGTAGTTCTGTCGAAGTAAATGATGATTAAAAATTTGTTAACGCGCAGAAATTTCGTTCATTCTCCTCCCGAAGTATTCAGGATCTCGGGGGAAATACAGACTATGAATTAAATTATTTTAAAATTTTCCAGGTAAGGCCCACTGAGCTATTTATCTCTTTTCAGAAGCGACCTGGCTATCACAAATGATAGCTCAACGAAGTGGCTTATCATCACCATAACAGCAGCCAAAAACGCGTGATGTTGATTCTAAATGTAGAAAACCGGACGAACCCGGAGACAACTCCACGCGACCACGGGGAGAAAGAGACGCAAACTCCAAATATACAGCAGCAGCAGGCGTCAGGGTCGTAAACGAACCCACGACCTCCTGCATACCAGGCGAGGTAGTTAACATCTCCTAGCCACCGTGGCACTCAACGGATTTCTTCTGAAAAAGAGCTTCGTAGCTCAGCGGTGGGTCTTACCTGTTTAAATGTTTTAGTTGACATGATGGTTGTGGGTGGTGGTTGCCAGTTGTTAAGAAAACGTTTCAGCTCCCTGTGCAGTTTGCGCGATGCCTCTAGCGGATATTTGGTGGCAGAATGTTCGCCACAACAGTTTATATCTTTTTGTTTTAACTCCCTGCCGCCCCATCCACTCCAACTCGCGACGAACGTTGACGACTCCCTGCGACGTTTGGCCGCTCGAGTCTGGCGCCCGCGTCACGGAGCTCAATTACAATTGTTTTGCACTTTTTGCAGACCTCATCGCCTGCTAGGGAGCTGCTGGGCCTAAACCCCACAAAGCAAGCAGGTCCCAAGATTCCACATCTTCAAAGACACATCGCAATAATTACAACAACAATGATCTATCATAACGATGAAGTCCAAACTGGTAACCCAAAAACCCTTGACAAACTAAGAGCCGAGTTATTGCTCGGACAATAAATACGTAACATAATTATCGGAATAACGTTGTGCAAATGTATTTAATCTAATCACAAATTAAGCACAAACTCGAAAAAGACACACTCGCACGAGGAGAGACACTGACAGACACGAGCAAACACGGACAGACGACACACACACGGAGACAGAGATACAGAGAGAGACTCACACACACGGAGACACAGAGATACAGAGAGAGAGACTCATACACACGGAGACACAGAGATACAGAGAGAGACTCACACACACGGAGACGCAGAGATACAGAGAGAGACTCACACACACGGAGACACAGAGATACAGAGAGAGACTCACACACACGGAGACACAGAGATACAGAGAGAGACTCATACACACGGAGACACAGAGATACAGAGAGAGACTCACACACACGGAGACGCAGAGATACAGAGAGAGACTCACACACACGGAGACACAGAGATACAGAGAGAGACTCACACACACGGAGACGCAGAGATACAGAGAGAGACTCACACACACGGAGACATAGAGATACAGAGAGAGACTCACACACACGGAGACACAGAGATACAGAGAGAGACTCACACACACGGAGACAGAGATACAGAGAGAGACTCACACACACGGAGACACAGAGATACAGAGAGAGAGACTCACACACACGGAGACGCAGAGATACAGAGAGAGACTCACACACAACCACACGGAGACACAGAGATACAGAGAGAGACTCACACACACGGAGACGCAGAGATACAGAGAGAGACTCACACACACGGAGACATAGAGATACAGAGAGAGACTCACACACACGGAGACACAGAGATACAGAGAGAGACTCACACACACGGAGACAGAGATACAGAGAGAGACTCACACACACGGAGACACAGAGATACAGAGAGAGAGACTCACACACACGGAGACGCAGAGATACAGAGAGAGACTCACACACACGGAGACACAGCGATACAGAGAGAGAGACTCACACACACGGAGACACAGAGATACAGAGAGAGACTCACACACACGGAGACGCAGAGATACAGAGAGAGACTCACACACACGGAGACACAGAGATACAGAGAGAGACTCACACACACGGAGACGCAGAGATACAGAGAGAGACTCACACACACGGAGACACAGAGATACAGAGAGAGACTCACACACACGGAGACACAGAGATACAGAGAGAGACTCACACACACGGAGACACAGAGATACAGAGAGAGACTCACACACACGGAGACGCAGAGATACAGAGAGAGACTCACACACACGGAGACACAGAGATACAGAGAGAGACTCACACACACGGAGACACAGAGATACAGGGAGACACTTGCACGGACACACGGGACACACACGGACAGACGACGCTCTTAGAATCCTCGCCGCCAGTCTCTGTATTGTAAGACCGTTGACAGGATTCTACCGTCACCAACATCAGCACGATGGTCATCATTCCCACCATCATCATCAGCCTCCTCCGCGACTCCGATTCTACCACCGCAGCCACCTCTGACGACGCTGCGATGTGTAAGGGTCCACGTGGCACACAAAGACTTAGAGCCACGACCACCAACGGACACAATCAAAATAATAATCATCATTATACCGAATCTGACTACCACCATTCAACCTCGAAAACACGAAACCAAAATGACCGTGTTGCTGTAATTAACAGGGCCGCCGCTGCCGCCTCCTCCACCACCAGTGCGGTTAGTGGCGCATTGCTGCCGCCGCCGTCATGATGATTATAATGATCATCATTAATAATGATGTATTATTGTTACCGTTCTTATTTGTTTAAACCACGACTGGTATTTTGAAATGAAATCACCGAACCGGCCGGGTTTTTGAGAAACCGAAGCCGAGACGATTTGTTGGCGTTGATGTTTGGAAATCTCGCGGTGGAGTGGCGTCGTTCGACCATCTCGCCACCATGGGGGTGCCACGCTTGCCAGGCGCTGTTAACTACCTCGCCTGCCGTACAGGTGGAGGCTGTGTATTTGGATTCTGCGCCTCTCTCTCCACGTGGTCGCGTGTAGTTTTCTCCGGGTCCTCAGTTTCTCCCATCCCCCCCCCCCCCCCCCACATTTAGAATCAACATCACGCGTTTTTGGCTGCAGTGATAAATTCCGCGTGATGATGATGATGATGATGAGAAGCCACTTCGTTGAACTATCATTTGTGATGGCCTGGCCGCTTCTGAAAAAGAGCAACTAGATCGCCTTACCTGGTCAAATAAAAAAATAGTTTAAAAGTGTAACGCACGATATATGTGCGTTTGTATGTGGAATGTATGTCGCGCACCATACATTGCCAATCATGCTCATGGGAGGTGCGGGGGCCAAACACCAAACTAAAAACACAACAATCCGTTCCGAAGAAATCATTTTCCAATCTATGTGAGTCTGTGGGTCTATGTGTGAGTCTCTGAGTCTCTGTATGAGTCCATGGGTTTCTATGTGAGTCTGTGGGTCTATGCGTGAGTTTGTGGGTCTCTGTATGAGTCTATTGGTTTCTATATGAGTCTGTGGGTCTCGATGTGAGTCTGTGGGTCTCTGTGTGAGTCTGTGGGTCTCTGTCTAGGTCTGTGGGTCCGTGTAAGTCTGTGGGTCTCGATGAATGTATGTATCTTGCACTTCGAGGAGGGGAGCGGTGCAGAAAAGTGTTGCGGAATCCCGCTGTAGTTTCCGTGACGTGTATCCACATACTCCGATAAATGTGCCCGACAGAGACGTGCCAGAATGTGGTTGTCTCTGTTCGCTTGCTCGATCTTCGGATTTGATCGCAACAGATGGCGGCACTGTGTGGCGCAAGCCGCGTCTGTACGAAGGCAGGCCACGTCGACGACATTGAGACGAATGATGACAATACGACGACTGCTATCATGATACACGAAGCTACTCTTTACCCAGCAAGTCCACGCAGAGTCCCCAAGATATCTGCTACACGAGGGTCCTTGCTACATTGGGATGTTCGATCAAACACGGTCATGGGAAGGTGAAACACGGCCATCGGGCAACCCACGGATCCTACAAATCCACCGTCGCCACCACCAGCCACCACCACTACCACCCGCCACTACTACCATCACCACCGCACTACAGCCTCTCCCGAGTGGCCACGCGTTCCTCCCCATCCGGGACTCCTCATCTGGCTGTGCCGATGTCCTTGTACTGGCAGAGGAGCAGGCGCTTGAACGTCTTCTTGAAGGCGGCGTTGCAGAGCGCGTAGCACGCGGGGTTGATGGTGCTGTTGATGTAGCAGAGCCAGTAGCCGATGATCCACACGGCGGCGGGCACGCAGCGGTCGCAGAACGTGGTGATGAGCACCATGACGTTGTAGGGTGTCCACGTGATGATGAACGCCAGCAGGATGGCGAAGATGGTGCGGGTCACCTTCCGCTCGCGCGCGGCCGCCTGCCGCTGCTTCTTCTTCTTCCCGGCGCCGCTCTTTCCGCCGAGCGCCTGCCCGACTTGCTTCCCGACGTCCGCCTGACGTTGCTGCTGCTGCTGATGCTGCTGTTGTTGCCTCGGCTGCAGTTGCTGCTGCTGTTGCTGCTGCTGCTGCTGTTGCCGCCGCTGTCGTTTGGAAGCGCCGCTGCTCACCGCCCCGTCCGTTCCATCGCCGTTGCTCGCCGAGGCTGCCGCTGCCGCGGTGACGTTGACGTTGGTGGCAGCGGCTACGGAGGCGGAGGAGAAGGAGGACGAGGACGTGGTGGTGGTGGTGGCCGCGGTGGTGGCCGCGGTGGCGCTGCCGGTGCTCGTGGTGGTGGCCGCGTCGCTGCTGCCGCCGCTTGCCACCGGCGGCGTCGTATCGATGACCGTCAGGCACGTGGCGTTGCTGCCGCCCGCGCAGCGCGTCACGGCGCGCGGCGCGGACGCGTCCCCCGTGGCCGCCTCGTCCTCCTCCTCCTCCTCGGGCGTCGAGTCGTCGTCGTCGTCCTCCTCGTCGTCGTCTTCCTCGTCGCACAGCTCGGGACCCTTCTTGGAACTCGGCGTCTGCGAACTCGACTCCGAGGTCTCCTTCTCCCCGTCGCACCTCCCCTCGCCGGTAGCCGCGGCAGCAGCAGCAGCAGCCGCCTCCTCCTCATCCACCACCATCACCACCACCACCGCCGCCGACTCCTTCTCCTCCTCCTCCTCGGCGTGTCGCTTGCAGGAGGCCTCCAGCACGAGCAGCCCGTTGTTGTCGGCGTTCTTCATCACAACCACAGCCGTCGCGTCCGACACCTTCGACTTCACGCAGCCACTACCACCACCACCACCGCAGCCAACACCACCACCACCGCCACCACCACCACAGCCACCACCACCACCGCAGCGCTCCGTCACCAACCGCCGCGTCAGCCTGAGCCGCGAGAGGATCGCGTAGCGGCCAGGCTGAGCACCACCGCCACCGCGTCCCGACGCCTTCCTCCCCATCTCGCCGCTCAGCATCTTGCCGATGGCGTCCGCCTTCCCGCGCCTCGTCCTGCGACTCTTCCCGCGGCGTCCCACGCGGCTCCTGCTCGCCCGGGACACGCGCGCGTACAGCGCGATCATGATGGCCACGGGCAGGTAGAAGGCGGCGATGGCCGTGCCGAAGGTGGCGGCGGGGTTGGACAGGAACTGGATGCTGCATTCGCCGTCGGGCACGGTGCGCTCGCCCACGATGTGCTGCCAGAAGAGGATCGCGGGCGCCCAGAGCACGAAGGAGAGCGCCCAGGCGCCGGCGATCATGCAGCCCGCCGTGCGGGTGGTGCGGCGGGTCGGGTAGGCGAGCGGCTTGGTGACGCAGAAGTAGCGGTCGAAGCTGATGATGAGCAGGTTCATGACGGAGGCGTTGCTCGCCACGTAGTCGAGGGCGAGCCACAGGTCGCAGACGAGCGCGCCCAGGGGCCAGCGGCCCGCGATGATGTAGAGGGTGTAGAGGTTCATGGAGAAGGCGCCGATGAAGAAGTCGGCGCACGCCAGGCTGAAGAGGAAGTAGTTGTTGACCGTCTGCAGCTGGCGGTTCACCTTCGGGAATCGGAATCAGCGGAATGTTGGTTTAGACTGCAGCAGGAGGAATCCGGTGAGCAGCGAAGCTCTTTACTTTTTGTTAAACAGATGTCCAGTAAGGGGGGCAGCAGGGGTAAGAGCGTTACAACAACAACAACAAATAATACACAAACACGATCGGAGTGCACAATACAGGAAAGGCAAATAAATAACAGCTAAAACATACAAATTACACTCAAACTTCCCCATCCTACCGGGCAGAGCCCACTGAGCTATGAACTCACTTTTCAGACGCGACCTGGCTATCACAATGATAGCTCAACAACGTGGCTTACCACCATCGTTTGGAAATTAATATGAGCCCAAATAATCTGAATGGTCCATATAATCTGATCAATCCGAGTCATGTGAATAATCCGAATCATCTAAATAACCCATCCATGCATGTTTCACCTTGATGGAGACCATGACGAGGATGTTGCTCACCACGGTGACGAGGCTCAGTGAGCCCGTCACCATGGCGATGAGGATCACCTCGAAGGTCTGGTAGGGACCGCCCGTCGCCGTCGCCATCGCCAGCGACGTGCCCGCGGTGCCGTTGACGGCCGCGTCCACGGGCAGGGAACCGTTGCTGGTGTTGGCGGACCCATAGGGACCCGGGTCGCCCAACAGAGTGAGGTTCTCCATGATGTTGATGAGATGATCGGGGAGATGTCTTCTGATGATGATGGTGGTGGTGGTGGTGGTGATGGCTATGATAACGACAATGATGATGGTGGTGGTGATGTTGAAGCCAGTCCTGTGGATAGAGAGAAGACGAGATGGAGGTGGGTGCGTTATTTCTCGAAAGGATTTGTCTTCAGTCTCCAACAGGGTTGACAAGCATTCGAGAAGGAGCTCCTGCCTGTGGGGTCACGGCGGCTGCCTGTGGGGTCACGGCGGCACCCGTATGGACGATCACAGTCTCCTAGAACGCGGTGGTAGTTGCGTTCCTGAAACACACCACGTTATGGAAAGATCACGTTGTAACAACCATTGATTCAATGGGAATTAAGGTGTTAGGGGGTACAGTATAGTGGAGTGTATATTAGTGTAGCGTATTGTTTACTAGTGTATAGCGTGGCGGTGTAATGTATGGTGTAGCGTATAGTGTTGTGTATAGTGTATTATATAGTAGTGTTATCTATAGTAGTGCATGTCTGTAGTGGTTTGTGTGTGTGTGCTGAACTTATTTCGCAATATATGTAGCCAACCATGCTGATCGGGGGTACGAAGGCTGTGAAGAGTTGGCAGGATCCTGCTGACAAAGTCATTCGACTCGGTGAGTCGTTTTTGGGTAGCACAAGTGGAATCGTAGCAGTAATAATAACAACGATATTATTATTACGAGTAATGTAATACAATGTACGAAGTGTCACCCATTGTATTTGAATGTCACGCTGCATGCGATCATTCATCCTCGCAGAGCGAGGGGCGATTGTGATCGTCGCTGCCCTTCTCGACACACAGAGTCCCTCTCTTCTCTCGCTCTCTCTGCCTCTCTCTTTGTCTCTCTCCCTGTCTCTCTCCCTGTCTCTGTCTCTCTTTGTCTCTCTCCCTGTCTCTCTCCCTGTCTCTGTCTCTCTTTGTCTCTCTCCCTGTCTCTCTCCCTGTCTCTGTTTCTCTTTGTCTCTCTCCCTGTGTCTCCGTCTCCCTGTCTCTCTGTCTCTCTGTCTCACTGTCTCTCTGTCTCTGTCTCTCTCCCTGTCTCTGTCTCTCTGTGTCTCTGTGTCTCTCTGTGTCTCTGTGTCTCTCTGTGTCTCTGTCTCTCTGTCTCTCTGTGTCTCTGTCTCTCTGTCTATCTGTCTCTTTGTGTCTCTGTCTCTCTGTCTCCCTGTGTCTCTCTCCATGTCTGTGTCTCCCTGTCTCTGTCTCTCTGTCTCTCGACGGCGCGTTCGTTGGCCCCTGCACGGGGGTCAGGGCAGGCTGAGGAGAGGCGTGGAGGAAGGGAGGGAGGGGGGGAGGGAGGGGGGGAGGGGGGAGGGAGGGAGGGGGGAGCGCCTCTCAGTTTCCCCGGGGCGAGCGGCGCGCATCGTCACCCAGGGGTCGCGCGCTGCCAATTACAGAGGTCAGGAGGCAGCAGGCCGAGGTGAGCCCGCTTAGTTAGAGCCGCGCACTCGGGGAGAGGGCAGCGTGCGGCGGGGGGGGGGAGACGGGGGATGGAGACGGAGGGGGAGGCGGTGGGGGGTAAGGAAAGACGGGGGTGGTGGGGGGGGCATGGTGGGGGGGACGATGGAGGGTGGGAGAAGAGACGGGGGGTGGTGGGGGGGAGACAGTAGGGGGGGGGGGGGAGACGGTATTGGGGGAGGAGTCTCTGGGGGGGAGAGGGGAGACGGGTGGGGGGAGCAGACAGTGGGGGCAAGACGAGGGGGGAGACGGGGGGAGGCTAGACGGGGGGGGGGGGGGGGTACAGACACTGGGTGATGTCTGCTCACAAGGGGCTCACGAGGGGCTCACAGGCAGTGGGGGTGCGGCTGCCCCCCCCCCTTCTCTCCCACGTGGCCCGGCAGCCTGCCGCTCTTTGGCTGCCCCCTTTACAGGCATCCGGGTTTATTTTAAACAAAACTTAAATTTTAAACGTAATTTAATAGCAAAAATAATAATACATTATATTAAATGTGAGAGGGAATGGAGTCACTATGAGATGTCTTGGTGACGACAAAATATACAACAAACTGTTCTGTAAAAGATTACCTAAAGTGGACAGAAACTCAATACACGCAATGATGAAAACGAATAAAAGGTGTTTACCCCTCGAGCAATAAACCAGAATGTGCTACTACCCCTATCACTACCCCTATCACTACCCCTATCACTACCCCTATCACTACCCCAACCCCCATCACTACCCCTATCACTACCCCTATCACTACCCCTATCACTACCCAACCCCTATCACTACCCCAACCCCCATCACTACCCCTATCACTACCCTTATCACTACCCCTATCACTACCCAACCCCTATCACCACCCCAACCCCTATCAGTACCCCTATCACTACCCCTATCACTACCCCTATCACTACCCAACCCCCATCACTACCCCAACCCCCATCACTACCCCAACCCCTATCACTACCCCAACCCCTATCACTACCCCAACCCCTATCACCACCCCAACCCCTATCAGTACCCCTATCACTACCCCTATCACTACCCCTATCACTACCCAACCCCCATCACTACCCCAACCCCCTTCACTACCCCTATCACTACCCCTATCACTACCCAACCCCTATCACCACCCCAACCCCTATCAGTACCCCTATCACTACCCCAACCCCTATCACTAGCCCTATCACTACCCCAACCCCTATCACTACCCCTATCACTACCCCTATCACTACCCAACCCCTATCACCACCCCAACCCCTATCAGTACCCCTATCACTACCCCAACCCCTATCACTAGCCCTATCACCACCCCAACCCCTATCAGTACCCCTATCACTACCCCAACCCCTATCACTACCCCTATCACTACCCAACCCCTATCACTACCCCAACCCCTATCACTACCCCTATCACTACCCCTATCACTACCCCTATCACTACCCAACCCCTATCACTAACCAGCCCCTATCACTACCCCAACCCCCATCACTACCCCAACCCCTATCACTACCCCAACCCCTATCACTACCCCAACCCCTATCACTACCCCAACCCCTATCACTACCCCCAACTCGATCACTACCCCAACCCCTATCACTACCCCCAACTCTATCACTACCAAACGCCTATTAGTACCTCAACCCCTCTCACTACACCTATCACTACCCCAACCCCTATTACTACCCCAACCCTTATCACTACCCCAACCCCTATCACTACCCAACCCCTATCACTACCCCCAACTCGATCACTACCCCTATCACTACCCAACCCCTATCACTACCCAACCCCTATCACTACCCCCAACTCTATCACTACCCTATTAGTACCTCAACCCCTCTCACTACCCCTCACTACCCCTATCACTACCCCTACCCCTCACTACCCCTATTGATAAACCGACCCATATCACGATCCCTGCCCCAACCCCTCCTCACTCCCAACTGCCCTCCTGTCACCATGAGTCCACCACCACTTTTAATAACAACCCACCCACCCTTTACTGTCATCACGAGCATCTCACGTACAAGATCATTGCTGTAAAGCGACTCGGATTAAGGCGGTGGTATATACACTTGTAAACGATCATATTTCAACAGTCGCATAGAGAAGATAATGATTTAGATGGCAGGGAGCGTGCTACAAGGGTTGAGTGACAGTGCTGGAGGAGTACTTTACGGAGGGGGTCACTCAGGGGCTAGAGGGGAGGGACGGGAATGAGTGGAGGGGGAGGGAAGAGGAAGGGAGTGGCGATGATGGAGAAGAGGTGGTGAGGCTTTAAGAGAGGAACGGAAGGAGGTTGAGGAGGGGACTGCTTCATGTACAGGGGCAGTGTTTAGTTTATAGGTAGCAGTGCAGAGTCTATGGGCAGTGTTTAGTTTATGGGCAGTGCAGAGTCTATGGGCAGTGTTTAGTTTATAGGTAGCAGTGCAGAGTATATGGGCAGTGTTTAGTTTATGGGCAGTGTTGAGTCTATGGGCAGTGTTTAGTTTATGGGCAGTGCTGAGTCTATGGGTAGTGTTGAGTCTATGGGTAGTGTTGAGTCTATGTGCAGTGTTTAGTTTATAGGTAGCAGTGCAGAGTCTATGGGCAGTGTTTAGTTTATGGGCAGTGTTGAGTCTATGGGTAGTGTTGAGTCTATGGGTAGTGTTGAGTCTATGTGCAGTGTTTAGTTTATGGGCAGTGTTGAGTCTATGGGTATTGTTGAGTCTATGGGTAGTGTTTAGTTTATGGGCAGTGTTGAGTCTATGGGCAGTGTTGAGTTTATGGGCAGTGCTGAGTCTATGGGTAGTGTTGAGTCTATGGGTAGTGTTGAGTCTATGGGCAGTGTTGAGTCTATGGGTAGTGTTGAGTCTATGGGTAGTGTTGAGTCTATGGGTAGTGTTGAGTCTATGGGTAATGTTGAGTCTATGGGCAGTGTTGAGTCTATGGGTAGTGTTGAGTCTATGGGTAGTGTTGAGTCTATGGGCAGTGCTGAGTCTATGGGTAGTGTTGAGTCTATGGGTAGTGTTGAGTCTATGGGCAGTGCTGAGTCTATGGGTAGTGTTGAGTCTATGGGCAGTGTTGAGTCTATGGGCAGTGCTGAGTCTATGTGCAGTGCTGAGTCTATGGGTAGTGTTGAGTCTATGGGCAGTGTTGAGTCTATGGGCAGTGCTGAGTCTATGGGTAGTGTTGAGTCTATGGGCAGTGTTGAGTCTATGGGCAGTGTTGAGTCTATGGGCAGTGCTGAGTCTATGGGTAGTGTTGAGTCTATGGGCAGTGTTGAGTCTATGGGCAGTGCTGAGTCTATGGGTAGTGTTGAGTCTATGGGCAGTGTTGAGTCTATGGGCAGTGTTGAGTCTATGGGCAGTGCTGAGTCTATGGGTAGTGTTGAGTCTATGGGCAGTGTTGAGTCTATGGGCAGTGCTGAGTCTATGGGCAGTGCTGAGTCTATGGGCAGTGTTGAGTCTATGGGCAGTGCTGAGTCTATGGGCAGTGCTGAGTCTATGGGCAGTGCTGAGTCTATGGGCAATGTTAAGCCTACGAGCAGTGTTGAGTCGCAGTGTTGAGTCTATGGGCAGTGCTACTCAATGTACAGGGGGTTTTATTCCAGTGGAGGGGTGCTAGGAGGGATATTTGAAGTTCGTTTTCAAGCAGAGACGACG